TTTTATTAGTGTGATGGATTTGGGCTGTTGAATTGATATGCCAACTTGTTTGAGTAGCCAGATGATGTCGTGAGTGATCTAATGAGATTCCATTGTGTATCAATGCTTTGTCTGTTTGTTTGTGGAGCTGTAATTCTGTGTTATACTTCTATTTGGAATTTTTTCCAGTTTTTACTTGATATGTGGGCCCAATTAAATCAGTTACTTTTGTTGCGTGTATTTGAGCAGTTGGCATTGTGTGATGCCATGCTTCTAGAAGGCATATTGACACAAAAATACTCTTTCCTGTATACATCAGATTTTTGAAAATTTCCTTTTTTGGAAATTTTCTTATTTCGCAAAAAATGAACTTCCAAGCACTGAGTTTTACTTACAACATGATACCAAAAACTATTTTGACAAAAACCACATAAACACAAGGCCAAATAACTACAACAATGTTCTAAACACATCAAAAGAACACAAGAAACATGGAGATTGATAAACAACAAACTCTATTTAAAAACACTCTCAAAACAAACTCAAGAAGTACAACCCTTTCATACAATGACAAATACAGCTCAAACGAAGCAAGCACATCCTCCAACAACTCAACAACACACAATACAAACACAAAAACAGGATAAACTTATCAGTTAACACTACAAACTCACAAACACCTCAAACCAACCAAAATAACAATAAAAGCAACCCATCTACCCCACGTGTCTTTAGCAACACAGATAACCAATATGATAACTGGTTCGAGGAAGTACAAGCACTTCAACCTCCTTTTCCCTCCTCTAACAAAACAACTGCACAACAAAACATCCTCTTTACTACAGACAACAAACCAACCAACTGGTCCATTAAATATGGCAGAAAACGTTTTAAAATGCACATCCCTATAGCAGAGGTCCCTGGTAAAAATGACGACAGCAAGCTCAAACTTCTACAAAAATTCCTATCAAGATTGGAATCATTCACATCCATCAGAATCAACAGATCCCAAGAAGGGAGTAATATTATAGCTCTTTTTAGATCTGAGTCAGACACAGACAAAGCCAAAAACATTAAACTTGATGAGACACCACCATTCACATGCAACCTTTACCTGTATACAATGGGATTGAAGCCAAAAACAAAACAATCATAGCATGGAACATACCCCTCAACACCACATTTGCAGACATTCATGCCATATTCTCCAAATTTGGTGAAATTAAATCAATAAAAATGCAAACAATAGGCATGTGACAATTAGCTAACATAGAATTCCACAAGCAAAAATATTACGTTAAAGTTAGTAAACGCTGGGCAATCTTCTTTAAAGCTGACTTGATTAAAATTTTTCCATTTCTCAATACGAATCAAATTAAAGAAGAAAGAAGCATATACACACTAAAACTTATCAACCTGCCCCAGGCACCACAGGTTTTGACCTAAAAAAATCATTCAAATGACCAAAGCACAAATATGCTACATTCCATACACTATTACTTATAGAAGAAAGAGATTCACAGTCCTCAGTTTCAAAGACAAAGAAACTTTCCTCCAAGCTAAGAACACCCAAACCTTCCTAGGCAATACTGAACTCGCATAGGCAGAACTATCTGAAAAGAGCTGCAACATTTGCTCAAGTACAAATCACATTCTCAAAGACTGCTCCACCAGAGTATGCCAAAAACAATCAGCAGAACAGAAAAAACTCAACAGCAATAAATTTGGCCACCTATATGCAAGATTCAAACCAGTAGGCATTCCAAAATTTAAAACCAAATCCTTCCTTTAAAAATCATTTGCACAGGTAGTTAAAGACAACCAAAAGCCAGCAGAACCACAAAATACAAGCCAAACTCTTCGCATCGAAAACCTCACACTGAAAGACATTTATAACATTCTCAAACATCTCAGTAATAAAGTTCTTTCAATCAAACAAAATCTCAATACACTCAACCAAAGAATTGACAATCTTGAAGCTGAAATGAATGAATTATACAACAATCTACCTGAGGAAGCCCTTCAAGAAACAACCATGATGGTAAATCTATATAATGAAGATTCTTATAGCACTACTTCTAGCACAGCCAGGAAAAGACGTACCACTAGCCCTGAACCAAATGAACAACTTAGAAAATTCAATCACTTAAATGACTTCATCCTATGAACAACTCACCAAAATACAACTTACCCTCACACAAAACACAAACCTCCAGAATTTATCAAAACAATGAATATCGATCATCAACCATTAACAAACACACACTTGACAATTATTCCAACCAACTCACTCTCTTAAATAACTTCTCTTTCACCCCAATCTTCCTCAATCAACAACATACCCAGTCACGAAAACACACAAGAAACAAACATTTCTAAACACAATCAAACACCTCTAATTTGAAAAATATGCTCTAGAATCATTAGAGGCTTGTCCATCGAACACAAACATAACTTATGGTTCGAATACTGCAAAAGCAACAAATGGGACATTATAATCATCACAGAAATCAACGGAAACACTAATACATTCAAATACTGGACATTCAACATATTCAAAACCTGGTGGACACATAACTTAACACACACTGGCCAAGGCATGGCAATAAGCCTAATCCCATATCTCGCCACCAGAGTCTTCAAACATCAAGAAATCCCAGGAAGACTAATTGCACTTGATCTCTCCTTACCTAGGAAAAAGTTTAGCAGAATCATTGGCATCTACTGTATATCCCACCCTCCAACCACTCCCTTAAAACATCAATCCACAAAAAATGCAAAGACCTCATTATAGAAGAACACAACAAAAACTGGTCAATAATAATTGAAGAAGATTTTAACGAAGTCACCAACCCCTCAATGGACAAATAATCACTAATCACTATTCAAATGACAAAACACCCAGCAACTTTATCAACTTTCTCCAAGAACATAACTTCTTAGACTCGTTCTGAAAAATAAATCCATACAACAAAGAATTTACCTGACACAACTCCAGAAACCAACACAGAAGAATCGATCAAATCTGGATATCTGCAGAAGAAACCTGGAGCCTAACAGAAGCCTACATCAACAAAAACACAGCACCTTTAATAAACAGCAATCATGAAGCTACAATATGTCACCTAGAAACATAGCAACGCATCAAACCAACCCATCAAATACATACGCACAGTAAAAGCTAATACAATTGACTTCACACTTCAGAGAAAAACTGGCAGAAATTTTAACAATCAATTGAAACAGCAATCTCAAAATACGAAATCACACCCAGTGCACCTGACACTCAGTGGAATTTCCTAAAAGACACCATCCTAAAAGCAATGAATAAATTCATCAAAAAGATCAAACATCACAAGAAAATCTCCCAAGATCCAACTACTCCCTCCCCAGCACTTAACAAAATCACAGATCTACTCAAACTTCTTCAACTAGTAAAACAGGTCAAACAAACACCATATAACTTCAACATAAATAAACTACAAGGGTGCACAACTTCACTTTAAACAACTTTTCCCCAAATACCTGAATTACCCATGATCAGCATAACCTCTATCCAAAACCCAGAACTCAACCACTGGATTCAAGAACTCAATGCAATCATAATCAAACTGAAATCAGCACTCAAAATAGTCACCAAATACAAAACAAAACAAAGAATCACAATGGCAATATCCAGGAGATTGCAACACATGAACAATAACAAACACGCAATAATTAGCAGCATTCTAGAAAAATAACACAGGCACATTACTCTGAACAAAATCATAACAGAAGATGCCATTCCAAAAATAATAACCGAACCATCCCAAATTAAAGACATAGTCAGAACACACTACCATCAATGGATAGTCAAAAGAAACACTCAAACAATTGCCCAATGGCCAGAATGAGTACAGGAATATACACCTAGTTCCAATATTGACAACGAATGGTATAATCATACAACATATCCTATTACAAAAGAAGAGATACCCAAAATCATTCACTTCAGAAGTAACATATCATTTCCAGGCCCCTCAAAAATTCTATACATTGTCTTCAAGAAACTTGGTCCAAAGCAATCTCATTTTTCATAGAGCTTTGCAACAACATTCTCAAAACACAGATAATTTCTAATGACTGGAAACAAGAAAATTTGATCCCAATCCTCAAACCTCAAGAATGGAACAACAACCTCAGAATTACTAGACCAATTACACTTCTAAAAACTGGCAGAAAATATTTACAAAATGCATCAACAATAGACTGGCCAAAGTTCTAACCAAACACAACATCTTCTCTCAATATAATTGGGCTACATTACCAGGCTGCAGTACTCAAGAACAGATTCACATCATTCAGAACATCATAGAACATGTCAAATCGAACTCACAGCAAGCCTGGATTCTTAGCCAAGACATACAAAAAGCCTATGACTTAGTTCCAACTAAAATGCATATCAAAGTCTTAAAAGAATCAAAATCCCTCAACTATTATAAACATTATATCAAACCTTCTCTCATCTCGCAATAACACAGTCTTCACACCATTTGGCCCTACTGAACCATACTCAGTGGAAGATAGTATTGATCAAGGAGATATGATCTCACCACTGCTTTGGTGAATTTTTTATGACCCACTTTTATCTAGAATAGCAACTACACATAAAGGCTATACAATATAAATAAAATGAGAATAAGCCAGTTAAAAAAAAAAATAAAATAAATAAAGGCTATACAATAACAACCAAAACCTGTGAGAACATAAGACAAGGATGAATGCTGAAAATCACCAACATCCCAGATGTGCCTACATGGATGACACCACATGGATTGCAAACAATCAACACGAACTTCAAGACATTCTGAACACCGCAACCTCATTTTATAAACTCAATGATATTCAAATCAACCCACCTAAATCAGTACTCCTCATTATTAATGGCACACAACAAGACAGAGACCAAGGGGCAGTCCTCCAGAATCAAACCATTAAAGGCCTCGCCCCCACCACCCCAATCAGAATACTAGGCACAAGACACTGGGCACAAGGCACTGGGCAAAAGGCAACAAACAACACCAAACATCACTCATGAAAATTAAAACAAACAAAATCGCAAAACTAATTGGATCAATCAAAAATGTCAACAAACAATGTCCAAAGCCCTATAACATTCAAACACAAAATAGGACTTGCAAACACAGTTCCCAACAATATTCTCATTAGCAAATATGAATACAACCTAATCAACTTTATGAAAGACAAATTTAAATACATGCATCCAACTTCTTCTCCAGAACTAACAGCAACAATCTCTTTGGCATCACAACACGCTACAGACTTCAAGACATAAAAAACTCTTTCTGGTCACCTTCCCAGTCACCCATTATATCAACAACAAAATCCTACCAACTGGGATGAATCTAATGCACGATATTATCTGGGAAACTAGGAAATCTGAAATTTAATTCAATATGCCACCAGACATAATTATCCTCAAACAACTAGGAGACACGATAGAACAATGCTCAAGCATACCATGGTCGAACAACCTGAGACACAAATTGCAAAAAACAATCTAATGTTCATCATACAAATGTTGAATAAGGACTGCACAAAAACACTTTCCTGACCACAATTACATGCTAAGGCTAGAAACCAGCGTATAGGAAAAGAACCACATTGGTACACAGACATTAGCTTTACACTTCAAGCCCTCTTAGATCTAGACTTACTTGACTGTTGCGGCACACAGAACATCTTCCATCAATACATTCCAAGTCCAACAGCAAAGACCCACAAACACCATTGGGCAATAACAACAATGAATCTATAGGCAAAAGACTCAAAAACACACATAATCACATAATTTACACACACTATAAAAAAATTGAGGAGGCTTCCCAATCACTCCCTGCAAAGACTGCCAACTAAATGAAAATCACTCAACAGCCAAGAAATGCACCTTCTCTTCCCAAAGACAAGAAATCATACAAATTCCAGTACACAAAACTAAACATAGCAATAATAACATATTTAATCCAAACCCACATCTCAGAATCAGGATTTCACCACACAGTGCACTTCAAGCACACCACTCAACAAAGCTGCAAATTCAGAACCACTACCACCCTTATCAACAGTCTTAATCCCTTCAAACACATGTCACATCACCAAGATCCACAGATACTGGTAAGGAGACTCCAATACGATTAAAGACCTGATAGACATTGCAAACCAAATCAAAAATTAAACCATCTGTCCACATACACAGATGGATCACAATTATGGCACAACAACAAACAATGCATGGGAATTGGATGGACCATCCAGCACAGAGGAGCAAACATAGCCTCATTCAAAGGTTAAATCAGTGCATTCCCATCATCCACAAGAGCAGAACTGGCCGTAATTCTTTCACTCCTTATAGTATTACCCAAAAAAACAGACATTCACATCCATACAGACAGTCAAGCAGTAATACAGGCAATAAATCAAGCTAGCAACCTTTCAACCCACTCATTGATTCGTAAAACTAAAAACTGGACACTTACTCTAGCAATTATAGAATACAACAAAACATTTCAAATTCCTCTAATTCTTCACAAAGTAAAAGCACACACTGGAATCCAAGGCAATGAAGAAGCAGACCAACTAGCAAAAATCGACTGCAGAAACATGAATCCAGGCACAAGAACAATCTCTATCAACCCATACCTCTTTGCAAACTGGAGTTTCGCAAAATGGGAAAATGAAACCATAGACATTCCAATGAAAGATTTTTGCAAACTCATCTTTCAAGCTAAACACATTGCACAATAGAGCCTTCTACATAGAAATCATACACAAATCAATTACACATCAAAGAAGCACACCAACGGGAAAGCAACATTCGAAAATATCAATCCCGGCAACATAAACCAGGGGACTACAATGTTTGAGGACCAGGCACAAAGAAGGTTTCAAATTAATCTATGGGATCAAGAACTCCTGACAATGAGCAAACTTTTCAAAAGAAACTCCACTATATATAAACAAAACACATGTATGATATGTCCAGATATCAAAGACCACTTCCACGCACTCACATGCACAACACTCCTAGACACACATACAGAATGCCTGAAAAGAATAATCACAACACTAATGAGCACAGAAGGCAACCACCAAGAGAAAAGACAAATA